AAGAAAGAAAGAAAGAAAGAAAGAAAGAAAGAAAGAAAGAAAGAAAGAAAGAAAGAAAGAAAGAAAGAAAGAAAGAAAGAAAGAAACTGGCCCCATGAAGCCATAGGCCTTTATTAGTAGACCTGAGAGGGACACTAAGTGATTGTGCACAGAGAAGGTCAGACTGGTGTGTAGGTAAAGACAGTTTCTTTTTGTAGGGGCTCTTAGGGAGACTTAGAGGGGGTGATAGTTTCCTCAGGAAATTGGAAACAGGGTTCCTATCAATGTGTGATCAGGCCCAGGGCCTTAAAGGGATCTAATTGGGTAGTTGACTTATCAGGAGATGGATATTATCAGATTTCCTCAAGGAAGCTTGGGGTCAGGTCTTGGGAAATTGCACCATTCTTAATCTACCAGGAACATGCCCAAAGTTTGTGAGATGCAGCCATCTTATTATTCCTTTCATTCTGACAGTATTTGTTTCATATATATTTGATACTAGGTGTATATAGGTTTATAAGTGTTACTGATGAGTTGACTCTTTTATCATTAAACAACCTATTTCTTCCTTTCGTATTACAGATTTTTTATTTGAAATCTATTTTGTCTCACATTAGTATGGTCACCTACGCCCTCTTTTGGAAAAAAACAATAGGAGATTAATAAGGCTAAATTATCTCTGCAACAAAAAGAAAAAGTAAAATATTATGTATTAAGTAGGAAAATTATACAAAGTATAAGGGTTTTTTTTTTCTAGGAAGAAAGGATCATCACAGATGACATTAAAAGAAATAGAACAAGAGAATAGTCTAAAAGTATTATATTTTAGGGCATTATTTTTATCATAGGAGTATGCAATGAGGGTTGCAGAGTAGATTATATTTGGGGGTAGAGGGTGGGGTTTGGGGAGGTGCGGGGGGGATTGTGTACCAATGAGGGAGTTTTTCTTTTGCTTTTCAAGGAGAGGAGCAAATGGGGGGGGGAGGGGTTTGTGCAGGGAGAAGGGTGCAACAATGAATGAATGGAATTCTAAAATCTCTGTAGATGTTCATTGAAATGAAAAATGAACAAACTAAATTAAAAAAAAAGAAAAAGAACTAGAACATTTGTGTAAACCCCAGGCATTCAAGTGGATTTTAAAAAGATGGACTAAATTGTGTTACCTGGTTGGAATTCTTCAAGGTCAGATCTGCTCTGAGAGGGCAGTTGTTACTGTATACCATCAAGTCAGAACGGATCCACAGCTGACCCTCCAGAGGGAGTAAATTACATGTGAGGAGATTTCCCATCTTTCTTCAATGGAATAGGTGGTGGGTTTGAACCCAAACCTTTGTATTGGTAATGCAATTCCTTATCACTAAGCCATGAGGGGGAGGGGGAAATGAATATGAATCATTCTTGCACAGAGAGGGAACGTACCTCTCCTGGCAGGACTAGGGACTCCTGACAGAAAAGTAAGGGAGTAAGGGTTGAAGGATAACCGGGGCACCTTGAAAGAATTTCTATACATTGGGTTTTCTCCCTGTCTTTATCTACAGACACATGGATAAAAATACATTCATTTTCAACTTTAAAAATGGCAAGTCAGCGCATAGACGCCAGAAGACTTACCTGTGCTACAAGGTACAGCTGCTGAATAACAACTCCAGGGTCTGGCTGAACATCGAGGGCTTCTTGCATAACGAGGTGATTGTCCCTGAGCAACTCTGGCCAGCAAGGCCATCGTCTATACTTGGGAACATTTATAGTCACTGTACTTTCAGGAGACACCAGTCCTTGGAGAAAGACGTATTTGGAAAGGCAGAGATTCAGTGAAAAATATGAAATAAGATGTGTTGACACCGTGATGGCAGTAACAGGCTTGAACGCGGTGGAGGTTGTGAGGGTGGTAGAGGATAGAGCGAGGCGCCCCCTGCTGTTCACAGGGTCACTATGAGTGGAAGTCAGCTCCACACCACCTAATGTCAACAACAGGGAATGTTAATAAGTAACTGTTTTCCTACTAGTCTCACCAATTTTCTCCAGCCTTTCAACTCTGCAATCCTGTAGGTCTGCTCTGAAGTTGGGTGGAGGTGGGATCTATTTTAGATGATGCTCTGTGATTGTTTTCAGGCAACACATTGCTATCAAGTCACCATACTGTGTTCATCGTCACCCCACACTCTGGGTTCAACCCACCCCCTTCCAGACATGCCCAGGACAGATGGCATCAGGGCTGTAATTGTTAAAATGTTGTTCTTGACTCTAGCCCTTAGCTGCCCTAGAGCCTGGAACCGAACTCACCCTTGTAATACAACTTGCAGTTAAAAAAATAGACAAGGGAACAACAGATTCAGGGATGATGGTCCCTTGTGCTAAGTGCTCGTTCTCAAGGGGCTGATTTGACAGAGTTTATGTCACCTTTGGGCTAAGTACAGATGAGGCCCAGAGTTGAAGCTTGGAGGATGATTGGTGAGTGAGCAGGTCTGGGGTTTGGGCACAGGGTGGAAGGTTGGAGGGTTAGATCCCTCCAGGAAGGAAGCTTGCCCAGCCCCCTGGCATCAGCCTAGTGAATTTGGGGCTCACGTGACTCCTCTCCTCTTCTCTCCTCCAGTTCTTTCTCTATTTCTTGTAGGATCAGAGTCAAGAGAGAGCCTGTGAAGGCACTAGCCTGAAAACAAAAATCAGGGAGGGTCCAGAAAGTCAGTAATCAAGAGGGACAACATTTCAATGCAAGATAAACAGCAATTTACCACTCTATTTTAAAAAAGAAAAAATAAAAGTACAGCCTGGATCAGAACAAGCATTATAAATGGAATTAGGGGAGGAGGAAAGTGTGCGTGAACGAATTAATGAAAGAAACCAATCCCTTTTTAAACCTTCACTAATTTTTAATTATTTTTAAATTAAAAAGAAATGCAATCAGGAAAACCAAAAACCACCCATTTAGGCTGCCTGCAAGGTTTTGTTCCTGCCCGTCCTTTCCTCTGTCCTGTGCTGGAAGCCCCTACCTCATTTGTCTTCTCTTGACGCTGACCCCCCTCCCTGCTCCCAAGGGGCCTAACTCTCCCTTCTTTTCCATGCTCGGCATCATCGTGACCCCCAGCTGCGCCGTCACACAGAGCTGTGCTTCCTGGACCAGATTCCTTCTTGGTCCCTGCACCGGGCAACAGACTGCAGGATCACCTGGTTCCTCTCCTGGAGCCCCTGCCCTAACTGTGCCCGGGAAGTGGCTGCCTTCCTGGAGAACAACAGTCACGTGCATCTACGCATCTTCGCCTCCCGCATCTACAACCGTCTAGAAGGCTATGAGCAGGGGCTGCGCTCACTGTGGGATGCTGGGGCCCAGCTTTTCATCATGAAACACAGAGGTCAGGGTGGAACCAGGGGGAGGGCAGTAACCTAAGACAAGAAGTTGCTACAAAGAACGGGCAACATTTTTGGAAATTTCTGGAGGAGAAACCTCTGGTCTTGCAATGATGGTAGAATCAGGAAAAGATAGGCGTGTAGTGGCAGAGGGCACAGGGGAGGAAATGTGGCCCAGCAGGCCAAGGCAGGGAGGAAGGAAGAGGTGAGAGAAGAACTTGGAGGCTTCCAAACAGAGAAGGTTTGGGGAGACGACGTTCCAGTGGACAAGCGGGAGAGAGTGAAAGGCACAGGCCTGCTGGGAGCTGGTTCTTTCCTCTCAAACCTTTATAGGAACCATAAAGGGGCACAAGCAGCCTGTTGTCACTTTCTCCTGTGGAGAGTCTATTGTTGTTGTTGTTGTGCTCCGTCAAGTCAGAACCGACCCATAGCTGACCCTGCAGTGGATTTTTTTTAGTTTTTTTAAAATTAATTTTAATGAGAGTTTACAGAGACTTAGGGTTTCTAGTCATTCATTGTTGCACTTTTTGTCTTGCCCACCTCCTTCCCCCAATTCACTTTTCTCCTTGAAAAGTAAAAGAAAAACTCTTATATTTTTATACAATCCTTCCCCCCAACTCCACTCCACTATGCAGCCTTCACTCTGGACTCCTGTCATGACAATAATACCCAATCATATGTTGTTGTTGTTGTTATGTGCCATCGAGTCGCCTGCGACTCATAGCGACCCTATGTACAACAGCCCTAAACTCTGCTCTGTCCTGCGCCAATTGCACTGTCTCTGACACTCCCATCCCAATTATCCCAATCACTGAATCAATCCACCTCATAGAGGGCCTTCCTCTCCTGCGCTGTCCCTCCACCCTCCCAAGCATGATGTCCCTCTCTAAGGACCGGTCTCTCCTCACAACATGTCCAAAGTATGTTTGACGGAGCCTCAGAATCCTTACCTCCAAGGAGCCACCCGGTTTAACCCTTTCCAGGACAAATCTGTTTATTTTCCTAGCAGTCCATGGTATTCTCAATACTCTTCTCCAGCACCACAGCTCAAAGGCATCAATTCTCCTTCTATCCTCCTTGGTCATTGTCCAACTCTCTGATGCATAACAGGTGATTGCGAAGACCATAGCCTGTATCAGATGCACCTTAGTCTCCAAAGAGACACCATTGCTCTTCAGCACTTTGGAGAGGTCCCTAACAGCAGACTTTCCCATTGCAATGCTCCTTTTAATTTCCTGGCTGCTGGTGCCAAGACTGTTGACTATGGAGCCAAGCAAGCTAAAGCTGTGTACAATCTCAATCTCTTCACCATCCATCCTGATGCTGCCAATTGGTCCAGTGGTGAGAATCTTTGTCTTCTTGACATTGAGCCTCAATCTATATTGTAGGCTGCAGTCCTTATCCCTTTTAAATTATTCTCTCCCTCATCTGTTGCAATGCAGTATACTGAAAAAACAAGGAATTCATGAAATATTATGCAAAGTGGATGACCCTAGAGGACATTATGCTGAGTGAAATATCTCAATCACAAAAGGACAAATATTGCATAGGGCCACTATTGTAAAACAGGACTGACATTGGGGTTGAGGGAACACAGAGAAGAAGGGGAGGAATGATGTATACTGCATTCCCCCAGTGAATTTTAAGAGCCAGATTGTCCATCCTTCTTCTGGGGAGCAGTGAGTGGATTCAAACCTTGTGCCTTTGAGATGCAGTGCAGCTTCTTATCACTAGGTCACCAGAGCTCCCTAGTGCAATCAAACCACCAAATTTTTGGTTAGCTTCTGAGCACCGTATCACTGCTTCCAGAGTTCTATTGTGATGGTTTGTTTTGTATTATAGATTTTGAAAACTGTTGGGAAAACTTTGTGAACCACAGGGGACAATCATTCCAGCCTTGGCAGAACCTGGATGAGAATTGCCATTTCTGGGCCACTGAGCTTCAGCACATTCGCAGGTAAGGGGCGTCCTCTGGGCCTTGTCCCTTCTCCTCTCTACCACCTTACACACGTCCTGTCTCTGACCACCCTGACCTCATTTGTGGCCCTGCCCTCCCTTCCTCAGCCCCTGGAGCTTTCCTTTCTCCTGTCTCAAGTCTTTCACCCCACTCTCTCCAGTTCTTTCTGCTCCCTGCTACTTGGAGGAGGCTCCTTTCTTCCTCCTGACACCCCAACTCCCAGGGTCTCACAGAGCCCAGGTCTGGCTCCTTCCACTCCATCAATGAACCAAATCTCATTGTTAAACTGAAAGCCAAGTGTTGGGCACGTCTAAGTGGGGAACTCCGGGAACATTAGAGAAACCTCCATAGAGATATAGGGCGTCTTCAGCAAACAGGACCCCTGGGAATGACTGAGAGGCTCAAGTGAGGAAGGACTTGGGGCCCCAGACTGTGTGTCATCTTCGAGAGGATCCCTGCTCTGGCCCTGACACATGCCAGCCATTCTAGAACCTTCTTGCACTCTTTGACCTCACCCTCCCCTCCTCCACTTTGTCCATCATCGACACTGCAACCTTACCTCGCCTTATTCTTGATCCCATTCCCAAAATGCTCCTAGTCTTGTGGCGCTGGGATGGGACAGGGCTTGGGGATGTGGGTGGAGAGTGAGAGAAAGGAAACTTAAATAGCTATGTTACCCTTTAAATAAATTTTTAGAAAAAAAAGTAGAGTTGGGTTAGATGAGACCCGAGATCATTAGACCTTTCTCAGGCTGCAGAAAATGAAGGTGAAAGATTCCCAACTCCTTATCCCCTAGGAATCAGACAGGGTAGAGAGAGGACACCTAGGGTTCCAGGCAAACAGGAAGTGAGAAAGAGAGAGAATAAGTTAACCAGGTTCAGAAGCACCGGGCAGAGTTCCAGAGACAGCCGGCCACTGCCATCCCACAACTGACACCAAGACACAGCCAGCTCTCAGCCTAATAGGCTGTGACTCCAGGTGGGCAGATGCAGATGAAACAGAAGGAAGGTGTTGTGGTTGTTAGATGCTGCCAAGTCCAGTGCGACCCATAGAGACCCTGTGAGCTCTGGTAGCTATCAGAACCCTGTCCTAACTTGTGCCATCTTCACCATCTCTGATGCACTCAAGCCCATTGCTCTCAGTTGAGGGTCTTCCTCTCCTTTGTCATCCCTCCACGATGTCCGTTTCCAAGGAATGAGCTCTCCTAGCAACACACCCAAAGTATGTGAGATGAAGCTTCATCAGATTTGCTTCCAAGCAACACTTTAGCTGCACCTTCTCCAAGACTTACCTGTTTGTTCTTTTGGCAGACCATGGGATATTCAGTGCTCTCCTCCAACACCATAGTTCAAAGGCATCAATTATTCTCTGTCATCCTTAGACATTGTCCAGCTCTTAGATATATAGCAAATGATTGAAAAGATCATGGCCTTAGTCAGGTGCACCTTAGTCCTCAAACTGCCATCATTGCTCCTCAATAATTTGGAGAGGTTCCTGACTAGAGACTTTCTCAGGAAGTCTATTAGTATGTAAGGAAGATGTTTGTATGAACTAAATCTGTAAGATCATGTTAAGGAAAAAAAGTGAAAAAAAAAGATCATGTTAAGAGCATGCTGGGAAGCACACAGCTGCTGCTTCTCCCTTGACCCCTGTCCCCAGTCTCCATTACTATTTGGAAGGTCCCTGGACATGGGCCCAAGGGCAGAAGCAGGGTTCTTCCCAGTTACTCCAAGGCCACCCACCCTCTCTCTACCTCTTCCTTTCCTTCAAGGAGGGAGGCACAGTGGGGACCCAGATGTCTGAGTGCCACGTTGTTTGACCTGCTCATCAAAACTGACATGTCATAGTGGCTAGGCCAGAAGGATCCATCTTCCTAGGGTTACGGACAGAGATGCAGGCCAGTTTCAAGGGCCACACAGACTTCCCTGATGTTCCTTCCAAGTCAGTGAGTGTCCTCTCCCAGTACATGGCCATTCTGCCCAGATTCAGTGGCTCTCAGTGATGTGTCTCCTCCAAGGAGCTCCAGGCCTCAGCAGGGATAGGCTGACCTGTCAAGGCCAGCATGGGATCCGTCTCACTTCCTGTGGGGGTCATCTAGTGCTGCTGACACCCACATCCCTCATGTCGGGGCTGTGAAGAACAGGAATTGCTTTTCTCATGGTTCTGCAGGCTCACAGTTCATATTAAGGTCCTTGTGGGGGACCCGGATGTTTGGGGTACCACTCTCACGGCACCTGCCTCTTCTTTTGTTTGTGTCAGCCTGGGTCTCCAGTCTCAGCTGCTTTTTGTAGAACTGCTGTGTGTGCTGCTCTTCCAGCCCCTCTTTGCTCTCTGCTGCAGGCTCTGCCGTGCTCTGTCTCTCATCCTCCACAGTTAATATCTCAGCTCTCCCAGTTCTGGGCTCCTACCTCTGTCCCCGCCCACACACTAGTCACTCCCCAGACTCTGCCTCTCTGTGTCTTTGGCTATATTCCATCAGCACAGCCTCTTCTTGTTGTTGTTGTTAATGTGCCGTCGAGTCACCTGCGACTCATAGCGACCCTCTGTACAACAGCCCTAAACTCTGCTCTGTCTTGTGCCAATCTCACTGTCTCAGACACACCCACCCCCATTAGCCCAGTCACTGAATCAATCCACCTCATAGAGGGTCTTCCCCTCCTGCGCTGTTCCTCTACCTTCCCAAGCATGATGTCCCTCTCCAAGGACTGGTCCCTCCTTGAAACATGCCCAGAGTATATCGGACAAAACTTCAGAACCCTTGCCTCCACGGAGCAGCCTGGTTTCACCCTCTCCAGGATGAATCTGTTCATTCTCTTAGCAGTCCACAGTATATTCAATACTCTTCTCCAGCACCACAGCTCAAAGGCATCAATTCTCCTTCTGTCCTCCCTAGTCATTGTCCAGCTCGCTGATGCACAGCAAGTGATTGCAAAGACCATCGTTTGTATCAGTGCACCTTAGTCTCCAGAGTTACACCATTGCTCTTCAGTACTTTGGAGAGGTCCCTAACAGCAGACCTTCCCATCGCAATATGTCTTTTAATTTCCTGGCTGCTGGTGCCAAGAGTGTTGACTGTGGAGACAAGCAAACTAAAGCTGTGAACAATCTCAACCTCTTCAACATTCATCCTGATGCTGCCAATTGGCCCAGTGGTGAGAATCGTTGTCTTCTTGATATTGAGCCTCAATCCATATTAGAGGCTGCAGTCTTTGACCCCCTGCGTCTTCATAAAGCTCTGTGTCCATGCTCAGGTGGACCTTAGATGAAAGGTCACTGGGACATGTTTATACAGAGCTTCTGCTGAATTCACTGAGTCATGACAATTTTAAAAACCACAGACAGTAACCCAGCACCATCCTACGCCAACCGCAAGACCACACTCGAGTCTCGAGTCTGTCATTGCAGTAATGCATCTTACTGATGTCTCCTATGTACTCTCTGAGCCTCCGCTTCATCAAACACAATGTCCACCTCCCCACATTGGGCCCTCCTCATGTCAAGTCCAGAGAGAACACATCAGACCCTGGTCTGGCAGTGATTTTTCATTTCTCCTTGGGATACTTTTCAGAAATACATCATCAAGCCTTTCTCTTTAGTCTCAGCCTGGAAGCCCACTAAAATCTGTCCACTATAAGTAACCCCAGTTGCGAATGGAAATGACCTTTACACAGCTTTTGTCATCATAAGCACAAGCCACTGCAGGGCATCAACTGACAGAATATGGGCTAAGTCATTCAGATAGGGGCATTGTCAATAATTTACAATATGTCAGCCTAGAGAGTTCTCGTTTGCCAGACACGGGAGTTTCCCAGAGCATGGGGCTCCCACTGTTCAAGCAAATGGAGATGGCTGGTCAACCTATGCTGTAACTGGGTGCTTTCCTCTTGATCCACTCCCCAAGTGTAGCCAGTTGTCTTAATGGAAAGCCTACTATCAATTATTTCATCTTGCTTGGATCCACAATCAACAACCTTAGTACCAGCAGTCAGGAAATGTATTGCACTGGGCAAGTGTGCTGTCAGGAACCTCTCCAAAGTACTGAGGAGCAATGATGCCAGTTTGAAGACTGAGGTGCACCTGATTCAGGCTATGGTCTGCTCAATCGCCTGTCATGCATCTAAGAGCTGGACAATGAATAAGGATGACAGAAGAAGAATTGGTGTGTTTGAGTCATGGTGCTGGGGAAGAGTACTTAATATCCCATGGACTGCCAAAAGAATAAACAAGTGCAACTTTCAGCTATATAGTAGATTGGTTTATAAAAGAAATAGTATTACCTATGAGTATATACTTCCTTAAATAAATGATTATAACAGGTTTTGAAGCAAGAGTGGCATCTACTTCCTAAACCACATGCTTATGGAAACTTTATGAACTTGGAGAAGCAATGATAGTTATAGAAAGGCATTAGGTCTTTTGTTCATAGAGTCGTTATGAGTCATGTTTGACTCAACGATAATCAACAACAACATATGAGAATAATGCTCAACAGTTACCCAAATGAAAAGACAAGAAGGTACAGGGAAGGGAACCTGTTGTTGTTGTTATGTGCCATCAAGTCGCTTGCGACTCATAGCGATCCTATGTACAACATCCCTAAACTCTGCTCTGTCCTGTGCCAATCTCTGATACACCCATCCTGATCACCCCAGTCACTGAATCAATCCACCTCATAGAGGGCCTTCCCCTTCTGCGCTGTCCCTCCACCCTACCAGCATGATGTCCCTCTCCAAGGACCTGTCCCTCCTTGTAACATGTCCAAAGTATGTTAGATGGAGCCTTAGAATCCGTGCCTCCAAGGAGCAGCCCAGTTTGACCCTTTCCAGGACAAATCTGTTTGTTTTCCTAGCAGTCCATGGTACCCTCAATACCTCTACTCCAGCACCACAGCTCAAAGGCATCAATTCTCCTTCTATCCTCCTTCGTCAATGTCCAAGTCTCTGATGCATAAAAAGCAATAGCAAAGACCATGTCCTGTATCAGGTGCACCTTAGTCTCCGAAGAGACGCCATTGCTCTTCAGTACTGTGGAGAGGTCCCTAACAGCAGACTTTCCCATGGCAATTCATCTTCCAATTTCCTGGCTGCTGGTGCTGAGAGTGTTGACTGTGGAGCCAAGCAAACTGAAGCTGTGAACAATCTCAATCTCTTCACCATCCATCCTGATGCTGCCAATTGGTCCAGTGATGAGAAGGGAACCTAGATCAATGAAAATAGAACAAACAGAATGGAAATAATGAGAACGTTAACACATTGTAAAAAATATCATGAATGGCATGAAAATTTTAAAAAGTGTTAAAGGAGAATCTGTTTTGCTGAATAAACTTTATCTAAAATAATAATAATAAAAAGAATAAACAGGTATGTCTTGGAACAGGTTCAGCCTTTGCAATCACTTGTTATGCATCAGAGAGTTGGACAATGACTAGGGAGGACAGAAGGAGAATTGATGCCTTTGATCTGTGGTGCTGGAGAAGAGTATTGAATGTTCCACGGACTGCCAAGAAAACAAACAGATTCATCCTGGAGAGGGTTAAACCAGGTGGCTCCTTGGAGGCAAGGATTCTGGGGCTTCGTCTGACATACTTTGGACATGTTGCCAGGAGGGATGGGTCCTTGGAGAGGGACATCATGCTTGGGAGGGTGGAGGGACAGCGCAAGAGGGGAAGGCCCTCTATGAGGTGGATTGATTCAGTGACTGGGGTAATCGGGATGGGAGTGTCAGACACGGTGCGATTGGCACAGGACAGAGCACGGTTTAGGGCTGTTGTACATAGGGTCACTATGAGTCGCAAACGACTCGACGGCACATAACAACAACAACATGGTGGTGCTCCATCAAGGCAAAGATGGAGAAGCTTCATCTTCCATCTACTGGACATGGAGCAAGGCGAGGCTATTCCTTGAAAAGGGCCATCATGCTTGGAAAGATGAAGGAAGGGTCAGCGAAGGAGAGGAGGACCCGCAAAGAGACGGATGGACACAGTGACATTAGCAATGAGTTCTAGAGTATCAGAGGTGATGAGAATGGCCCAGGGTGGGGCAGCGTGCAGGTCAGCTGCTCCTAGGGGGTCACTGAATCGTACTTGACTCCATGGCAAAGAAGAAGAAAGAAGAAGAGGGGAGGAGGAAGAGGAGGAGGAGGAGGAGACGAACAAGAGGAAGAACAAGAACTAGAACAAGAACAAGAAAGCAGCTCTAGCAGCCTAGTGGTAAGAAGTTGTGCTGCAATGTCAAAGACATTTGGTTTGAACCCACCAGTGGTTCAGTGAGAGAAGGATTGGCAAACTCCTCCTGAGCAATGAATTGCCTCTGGAACCAGAAGGAGGGTCAGCTAGTCAGTTCCCACTGGATGGTGCACAATAACAAACAACTCAGAGAGGGGCCACCATTCAGAGTTGCCACCACCCCACCCACTCACTCTTCAGCTATCTTCACTCACATCCTCCAGGAGTTTTACTAAGCAGAGTTGTGGGTGTTAGAAACAAAATGAGTGGGTTTTGCTTCTTAGCACCCCGGATGTTAGAAATTGTTTTTCAAGGTGGCATTTCAATGTCTCTAGAAACAGGCTGGGGGTACATCCCTATTACCCAGGCCAGCACCCTGTTGCTATTTTTCCTCCAACCCCATTCCAGGGGTCCCAGCCAATGAGGAATGCTGGGACCCCCTGGACCTTTCCCAGGGACCAGGAGTGACAGGAGCTTAGAGTGACCCCAGAGGACAGTCTCTGAGTCTGATTTTCTCCTTCTTCTTACACAGAAACACAATGATCCTGCTAACACCTGAGAGATTCTACTCACAATTTAACAACCGGGAGCGGCAGCTCAAGCAGTCCTACTGTGTGAGGGACTTCTACTTGTGCTACGAGGTGGACGGCCCCCAGCTGATTCGAGGCTGCTTGCGGGTGCCAGGCGGGCCCTCTGGGCACAGGGTGAGCAGGGCTGAGTGCAAGGCCTTTGCAGGAAGCAGGCATGGGAGAGCCCATGACAACTTGTTCTGCATTTGCTTACCTTGCTTCCTGCTGCTGCAGTGACTTTACAGCCTGGCGGCCCTGGAACTCCCCACACTCCTTTCCAGTCCTGGGCCTCTGCAGATGCTGTTTCCTCCAGGAGAATGCTCTGTCTGGTGCTCCAGTCGTGCACTTCTTCTTCTTCAGTTCTCAGCCAATCCAGACCTTAGGAGGCCGCCTGGCCAGGTCCTGGCTGGACACAGGCTCAGCCAGCACCTGTCGTGGTCACAGGGCTCAATTGCACTAGTGAGAGGAGTTGTGGGTTCAGTGTCTGCCCCCTGTGTTGCCTCCTTTGTCTTCCCCAGGACAGAGGGAGTGAAAGAAGGGGCAGAGGGAGTGAAGGAAGGGCTAGATTCCGAGGCCTTCCAGGGACCACCGTGACTTCCAGGTGCCTGAGCACATGAAGGACTTTGAGAGGCACCTCCAATGACACCCTCACAAGTGTGGCTGGGAGGAGGCATCAAGTTTACAGAGGTTCAGGGCCCAGAGAAGGGGCAACCTAGCTCCCTCCCAACGTGTCTGGTCACCTGTCAGCCTCCTTTCTCTAAAGCAAACACAACCCTGAAAACTCAGAGGCAGGAAGGAGGGCTGGGACTGCTCCCACGGAACCTACCATTCTGGTTTTCCGAAGTCATGTGGCCTCGGTGGTCCCTCCGCACTTATTTTCCCTGCCTGTCACTCTTGCATAAACCTTTAAACACCCCTGACTTTGCTGCCCCTCCCCACCCCCAGCCTTTGAGTGTCCTCCCATGGCCAACAGTTCCACAAGCAGCGGCTGGGGGCGCCCTGTGCCAAGCCCAACCTTGCAAGCTGGGGTACCTCTGCCTCTCCTGCTGATACCTTGCCTAAGCAGGGGGGTTATTACCTCCCTATTGAGGTAATAACAGATGAGGAAACTGAGGCTCTGGCTATCCCAACTCTGAGCCTCCTCTGTAAAATGCTTGCAAAAGTATAGTCACTCCTGGTGCCCCCCACAACCTTCCTGATACAGAGCTGGTGCTCAGCTAAGACCCCACTCTCCCCCCTCATCCCACCCCCAGGCCTTACCCTGTTCTTCCCTCCTTCCCTTTCCCATATCAACTGGTGGGACAGCTTCTGGCATCACAGCCACACCTAAGTCACACAGTACAACCAATGGTGGAGGTCCCCACCCTCAGGCCAAACCCAACACACACACACACACACACACACACACACGCTTATGAGCGGATTCCAGCGCGGCTGCCCCAGGCGCTCCAGAGAGAACCGCGCCTCAGGACCATCTCACAGAAGCAGAGCTCCAGAACGTCCTTCCCAGGTGGCCCTGGGTGGATGCAAACTGCTGACCTTTCCACTAGCAGTGAGCAGTGAGCTGGGTCACATGGGGACCTCCCCTTCCTTAGCACATGGCTGTTGCCAGCGTCCAGCACTGAATGCCCACTGCAAGACCCCCACCCTCTCCCGCCCGCCCCCCCCCCTTCTGCCTGGTACCTGCTCCTCAGAACCTCCAGGTGGGACATCTCTGGTGAGTCCTGGACAAGTGTCCACAGCGCCCTCTGGAGTCTCAGAGCTGTGCATGCCAAGTGTTGAATTGATGGACAGCTCAGCTGAGTGCAGAAGCCCCTCTCCCTGTCCCCTCCTTGGTCCACCCCCTGAACTCTGCCCTCTAACCCTTCTATCTGTCTTTCTCTTTTTCTCTTGAACCCTCCCCAGAAAGACGACCATGTGGAACTGCGCTTTATTGAAGAGATTGCTTCCATGGGACTGGACCCAGACCAGAGCTACCAGATCACCTGTTACCTCACGTGGAGCCCCTGCCCGGGCTGTGCCTGGAGACTGGTGGACCTCCTTGGGGACTACCCCAACCTGAAGCTACACATCTGCACCTCCCGCCTCTACTTCCACTGGCGCAAGGACCATATTGAAGGGCTGCGGCATCTCTGGATGTCCAACGTCTTCGTCACCGTCATGACCAGAGATGGTAGGTGCTGTCTGGGGGAGACTGACAGGAATGGATGGGAAGGTCAATGGCCCAGCTGTGGTCCAGGGTCTGGTATACTTGGAAGAGAAGATTCTGGGGAAGAAACAAGGCCCAAAGAGAAGAAGTGGGGAGACCTGACGGTGTCCCTTCTTCCACCTCAGACTTTGATCACTGCTGGGAATACTTCGTGGACAACCAGGGAAAAGCGTTTGAACCCTGGGAGAAGCTGGATTTACATACTGAGCGCACAAAACGAAGGCTTCGCAGCATCCTGGGGGAGAGAAATTCCCCTGCTGTATGTCTCCCCACCCCCCACACCCCCGCACCCATCAGACTCCCCAGTTTCAGCCCCTCAGCCCCCTCTCCTGCCACTGTTCACACAGACACCTTCCTTACCCACCACACACATACATTCACAAACGTATATGCACTAAACACCAATATAGACTACACACCTACACACACACACCACAGAAACATACCTACGTACACCGAAGGATGACAGAAGAATCGCTGCCTTTGAGCTGTGGTGTTGGAGAAGAGTACTGAGCATCCCATGGACGGTCAAGAGAACAGACAGGGATGCCTTGCAGAAGGTGCGGCCAGAGTGCTCCTTAGAAGCAAAGGTGACAGAGCTTTGTCTCACACTGTGGGTATGTTGCTAGGAGAGGTTATTCCTTGGAGAAAGGCATCATGCTTCGGAAGGTAGAAGCACAGAGAAAGAAAGACTCAACCAGGTGGGGTGACACAGTGACTTGCAGCAATGGGCTCAGTGTGTCAGACACTGTGAGGACAGCACAGGATAGGACAGGGTTCAGATCTGTTGCTCACAGGGCCGCTGTGCGTAGTACTCAACTGACAGTCAACAGCAACAACAGCAAACACACACACACACACCCCTCACACTTCACACCTCACACACAGCACAGGTGTTTGTTTATATGCACAGTCCTCAAATATACATACAATACACAGGGAGCTCTGGTGGCCTAGTGGTAAGGAGTTGCACTGTCAACCCAAAGACACATGGTTCAAATCCACCAGCTGCTCCAAAGGAAAAAGATGGACAGTCTCCTATTCTGTGATTTACTGTCTCTGAAAACCCAGCTGAGGGCCCTCTTTGGGTTGGTCCTGATTTATTGGTACACAATAACATAGAGCAGCAGACACACGCCAACATACACACAGCACATCTAAACACGCCACACATAAACATCACTTATAGACAGTATATCCAACACACACACACACACACACAC